CATTAGTATATAGTCACTTCCTGACTCTCAAGATATAATTAGCTTTAGTTTTTGTAGTCATCTTCACTGCCTGTGAGGTCCAGATTCTTTTTACTTTCTTCTTTAAAAGATTATTCAAGATCTTTAGCATTAGACTTCTGAGTAGTTTTATAAGTCTTTGGTCTTTTTTGCTTCTTAATACTGAATCATATTTTCCATAACTTTTTTTGCCATCTTTTTTCCCCTTCATATTGAAGTTAAATGGCATCAATGACTTGGTGTAGAGGACTTTATCAAGTTTCTCATAGAATTTCCCTGTAGTTATGTTCTAGAACAAATATTGTCACATAAGCTACAATTATCTTCAAAGTTCTTTTTATGTTTACTGTGAGCGCTGTAAGGCAAAATTAGTGGGGCTCCTATGAAATGGTTTTGTTGCCTTTGGGCACAGAATGAAACCAAACCTGCTAACTCCTTTATTTTGTCTCTCAAGGAGAATCTGCAAACCATTTTCCCTCCTGTTTTCTTGATGATTATTTGTGTTTTAGTGATTTTTTTTTGTCCTTGGAATTTGAGGCCATCCTGTAAATCTTACAATGTAAAAAGCCCCAAAACATTAAATAAGTAATATGTAAATTACTTTTAATTTAAGAAGGTTAAGAGGGAAAAATTATGCAGTTCTAAATGTCCTCAACTATTTAGTCCGATTTAAGAATGAAAAAAAGATTCACATGATTATGTAAACCCTTAAAAATTACCCAGGATTATATTGTAGGGAAATTCCATCATTCAATTTATTTGATGGGAAAAAAGAAATAAAAGTCAAGCTCAGTGAAAAGTTGACATTCTGAAGAATTCCATCAAACCCATGTGCCTGTCTTTCTTTCTGCTCGATTACACAGGTTGTGCCAACAAAGTTATTTGACTTTGAGAGAAAACAATTGCATTTGAGCAGCTTCATCGTTTACTTAGAAATCACATGTCAGGAGTTCAGTTGAAAAATAGGGAAGTTCATTGTTTAGCTAGCATTACTTGAAAGCAGAACCAGGGTCAACTGATTGCTTACATAAATCTCCAAGCTATGAACCATTTTAAAACGGAAGCAGATAGACCACTCTGGCATGAAGCAGGTGGAGCTTTCAGGGCAAAGGTTTGCAGCTGAATATAGGCAGCCAACCCCCACCAAATAAATTTGTCTTAAAATTTTTATTTTACATTATGTTTTATGGTGCTTTCCCTGAGCAATAAAAATTGTTGTTTAAGCTCTACCTGTACATCACCCTTCTTATTTCAAAATCTACAATTAAAGAGTCATTTCTTTGTCCCTAGTCACATATAGATATATCTAGAAGAAATCATTAAATTGTCATTCATTTACATATAATTGTGAGCTGAATTTACTGGATCCTTATACACCACTGATTCTAATAGGAGGAAATTGGGGAAATATAAGTACCCTGAGGTGGGTGAGAGGAAGCACTAGTAGTTACCTTTCCCCCAAAACCTTGTTTGCTCCCCAAGTTGCCACTGTTGAAAGCTCCTTGAAGGATGAGCATGGATCCTTATGGCAGTCCACTAAAGGCCTTCTATCAAATTGATATAAAACTAATAATGACTTCTCTTTGAGTCTATCTATTAAGCACATTCTAAATCCACTGAATTGTTCTATCATAGCCTTATTTACTTCTTCATCTTTTCCATAATAACAGCATAAGAGATCTTATCAAATACTTTGCTATAATCTAGATAAACTACAGCAACATCATCCCTTTGATCTAGTAGATTAAAAACTTTATCACAAAGGAAACAGAGGTAGTCTGGCAGGACATGTTCTGGAAGTCATCCTGGGCTATTGTGATCTCTAACTGTTTACTATCTCTATGTTCTAAAATTTTCTCCAGAAACTGCAGTTGAGCTCATTGACCCTTACTTTGCAGACTTTATTTTCTTCATGTTTTTCATAGAGGTATAATATTTGTACTTATTCAATCTTGTAGGACCTCTAGTGCTCTTTATAGTCTTTTGAAATTTATTATCAGAGACTCAATGTTCACACTCTGGGATGTAGGTCATTTGACCCTGATAGCTTGAACTCATCAAACCTGGCTAGATGTTCCCTATCTCCCTATTTATTTGGACTGTCAAATTCCTATCAGCCAGGGCAGTCTTCACCTTGGCAGAGAAATCAGAAGCAAAGTAAGAGTTTAACAGAAAGCCCTTCTCTCCATCATCGGTATCTTTGTCCCATATATCACATGCAGTGGTTCTGTACCTTTTTTAAATCATGTTCTTTTGCCTGATATGGCTTTAGAAAATACATAAAAGATAAAAATAAAAACAAAAGCCTTTTAAAAAAACCTTTCACCTGCCTTAGTTTATCTTGAATTTAATTCTAAACAAGATTATCCTATGCTGTTGTACTCATCCTCCATACATATTGATTCTACTGTATATGTATTTTAAAAATCAAAGTTGGTCAAGGCAACTAGATGGTACAGTAGATAAAGCACTGGTCCTGGAGTCAGGAAGACCTTAGTTCAAATTCTGACTCAGATACTTACTAGCTGTGTGACCCTGGGCAAGTTACTCAATCTCTGTTTGCCTCAGTTTCTTCAACTGTATCAATAGCACCTACTTCCCAAGGTTGTTGTGAGGATCAAATGAGAAAATATTTGTAAAGTACTTGCCACAGTGCCTGGGACATCGTAGATGCTATAAAAATACTAGTGATGATGATGATGACGATGACAATGATGATAATGATGAATTCCCTGAGCATTGGTCTTTTTAGATAGTTCACACTTTATCCTCCTCACTGAAATTCTTTCTCTTACTATGTTCAGGAGTATACTTTTTAGTTCTTCCCATGACTCTTGGTCTAATTTTTCCTATTAAATTTTAGTGTGTGAAATCTTATCTATCCTTTTTTTTGAATCTTGAAATCTGCACTTTCAAAACCTATGGCATATGAGATTTAGCCCAACTTGCTACTCCTCTTTTGCAAATTCTAAGATGGAACGTTCATTTCACTTCAAGATTCCCAAGGTTCAAGAGTTCATTTCTCCCTTTGTAACCAACTCCTCCATGTTGGTGAAAAACTGATAAAGAATACAATTCCCCTGTTCTTTACCCAAATGTTTGCCATTATGTTTCCTTGCTCTAATTCCTGGGTTTTTTTCATGTCAATATGTCTTCTTAATTAACAATGCTAACCTGTTATTTTACCTATTCTTTTTTTAATGACATTTAGCATTCTGTAATCCTATTCCATTAATGGTTTTCATCTCATGTCTCAGTGGTACCTATGAGGTCAAATTTGCCTCTTTGCATTAAAAGCTCTTGTTCATTTTTCTTTTTATCACTACTTTGTGCATTTGTGTACAGACAAATACTGGATCCTTTCTTGGATTATGTCTCTTGCAAAGTAATGGGTGCTTCTGCTATCATTCTCCATATCTTGTAATTTCTCTCCATAGCAGAAATCCATATTCTAGGGTCCATGGATCCCCAAGATGGCCACGAATATATTTAAAGGAGTCCATTAACTTGGAGGGGAAAAAATTACATCTTTATTTCTAATTCTATTGCCTTTGTAATCTTATGTACTTCACCTTACACATTTAAAAATAGCATTTTGAGAAGGGATTTATAGACTTTACTAGTCTGCCAAAGTGATATATGAGACAAAAAAAAAGATTATGAACTCTTGCTCTGTGTTACACAGCATGGTAGATACAGAGTAGCAATTTTCTCCTTTGCTCTTCCTTTCTAGTTTAAAGTTTTTTTTTTAAATTAGATTTCCAAAACTTCAGCCAAATACATTTTGATTAGCCCTTATTTAATACACTCCATCCCTGGGTAAGAGCCTATAATTCCTACATTTTTATTCATGGTCCAGAAATCAAGTTCCTATTCTCAGACACCATCTTTACAACCAGTCATTACCTTCTTAAATCTGCCTTTCTCTTCTAATGCCATTGACTTCAATGAGCAAGAGTGATGCAAATATCACCTGTGTTCCTTGTGGTAGCCATGCTGGACATGAAATCACAAAGACCTGTATTCAGATCCCATTTATGATAATTGTTAGCCATGTGACCATTTCAACTTCTCTAAACCTCAGTTTCCTTATTTGTAAGCACACCAACTTGAATTCCTTTCTACACTGAGACTGATTAGTGATGGTAAAAGCAGGATTGATCATGAAAGTAAATTGCACTATTATAAGTTGATGAAAAAAATTCCTATAGGATGTGTGGAAGCAAGTATTTATAACACTGGTATGCACAAAACTGTTAAGTGATATTGGCAAGTGATTAAATACTTTGGCAAAGTGCAGGCCTTTGAAACACGAAAAAGTTATTTATGAAAATTAAACTGCCTAAATCATGAATGATTCATTTCCCAAGAAGATGCTAGATGCCAGAACATAAGTTAATACTCAGTTCTAAATAATTCATTCAATGTTATTAAAAGTCATCTATAAACCCAAAGACAATCTTAGATCCTACTAAGAGCTAGAGATATATTCACTATCAGTAGTCTTGTACTTATTGGAGAAGACAGATAGATAGATATGTATATTTATATATACATAGGAATATGTACTTATGTATGCATGCAATAGAAACCTTCCTGTACATCTTCTTACTTGCAAATAAAACTTCCAACCCTTCCAACATGTTTTTTCCCACGTCTTAGCATGTAATCAATAGATCAATTAATACTTTGTTATACTCTTTATGGAACCAAAAAAAGACAAATATAAAGTAAATATTCCATAATAAGAAACTATGAAGGTCCCAAGGACAGAGAAGTTGTTTTCATGTCATTTCAAATATCAAAGTAAGGTAGATTGAGTACATATGTTGAAGTCATGAAACTAACTGGGAAGATTCCAAGGACAGAGCAATTACTTACAATTCTTTCGAAACAACAGATTAAGATAGATTGACTAGGTAAGTATGTTGAATTCATAAAACTGATTAGCAAAGTGACCAGCAACATCCTCCATCACTCACCTTAGGCAAATTCAATGGTAATTTGCAAGTAGGCAGTTGATGCCAAAAGTCATTAAGTATAAGTGGTTGCTTCAAGTTCTTGGCTATTTTTTCTTTGGGTACTTTGTAAACTGCAACTGTACCCTTATAATGAGGGGAACTGTAGTTGCCAAATTCATCCACCTCCTTGAGCTGGAGTTCCAGGCTGGGCTTTCTTTGCAAGTGAAAAATAAGCTTGTAGTCTTTTCCATAGTCCTTCCCATTACCTAAATTCAAGTAAAATTTGTTGGTTACTACCACAATATAATACTTAGATGATTTGGGCTGAACCTTTGGAACTCAACTAATCATTTAGCACTTGAAGTGGAATATGTTTTACATTTGATTTAATTTCCAATGTCTCATGGATCTACAACGATCTGCTTTCACATAAAATATGAATTTGCACCGAAATTGATACTCACCAAGCAAAAGCAATGGAAGTATCGCGGAGTACAAAGAGCATTGTACTGAGAATCAAAGAGACTTAGCTTCTAGTGCTGGCTCTATCTCTAACTAACTGAGTGAATTTAGACAAATTACAGCTTCTTTGGGCTTATTTACTTATCTATAAAAGTAGGAGCACAATTCTTGCTGCAGCAATTTTGGTTTTCCTGAAAACAACAGGACCTGCAAGAGCTAGATGAGGAATCTAAGTTGAGCAACACTATGACAGTTTTCCCATGATGCTCTCCAGTTCTAATGACTGACTCTCCTAAACACAAACAATCTGTGCCAAATGGGGAGTCACTGCTTTAGTGACTAGGTTCTGTTTTCTAGAGGGAAAGGGATGGCCTGCCCAGTGCCTAGTAGGGTACACAATCCAAAGTATCTAGATACAGAAGGGAGAAAGCAGCTGGCCCATCCATCTCTCTTATCTATGAAAGTATACGAATCTCACAAACTAAACAGAGAAATATTTATCTGGGTTTTGAGTGTTTTAGTTTCCTTGCCGATAATAGTGAATGTAGACGTCCTCAAATTTCTCAAAGAGTCATTATCTGGTTTAATTTAAATTGGATATTTATTTTAAAATTTCACATTCTTTTTTCATTCTAAAGGCCATTATTACCTATGAAGGTAGAGGCATTATGGTAGAAAGAATGTTGGATTTTCAGATAGAAGACGTATGTTTGAATCCTGGCTCTAGTTTTAACTAGACATGGGACCTAGGGCAAGTTACTTAATTTCTCACACTCTCAGTCTGCTTAATTTGTAAAATGTGGGAATTTGTTTATATAATGTGTAAGGACCCTTACAGCTGTAAGTCTTTAATACTGTAAGGGTGATAGTTCTGTGCTTTCTTGGATGTAAAAGGAGTGTTGAATTAAAGTACATTCCTGCCTTTAGACAATTTTCTCTTCAGATTCTGGTTGGAAGGACCAGCTAGTTACTCACAGGAAACACTTCATTTCCTGTCTCCATACCCTTTGCTGGTTATCACGCATTCCTAGAATTCTCTCCCTCCTCATTTCTGCCTCTTAGATTCTCTGGCATCCTTCAAGACTTTGCTCAAATTCTGCTTTCTGTGGAAGGCCTTCCCTGGTCTTCAAAGCTGCTAGTGTCCTCCCCTATGAAATTACCTTCCATCTACACTATGTATATCACATAGCATAATTATTTATACTCTTATCTCTTCCATTTGAATGTGAGCTTTGTTCAAAGAGACTGCTTTTTCCTTTCTTGACAGCCCCAGCTTGGCACATCATAAGGTCTTAATAAATATTGGTTGATTTGACTTGATTAACAGTGTGACTGCTGGGAGGTACAGGAATATTCTCTTTGGCCCAGTCCTCTCAGAATTATGGAGGGAAAACTGGTAAGATAGGGAAATGATCACTGTCAAAAGTCTACCAAGCCCCCTCAGTCATATTCCCAAGCTGTTGTTCCTCATTTCTCCTTCATTCACCCTTTCTTTACCTGCTGTTCCCCACATCCAGGTTGTGAGACTATTTGAAACTAAAACACTCATTGATAGTATCAACAATGGTAATATTTACTACTGCCAGTATACAAAGCTTAACAAAGGAAATATTTCATTCATCCACATGACTTGTTTGGGTGGGACAGTTCCGTTTTGTGTCTGTCTGTGTCCTCCATGGGAATGGAGGGTATATACTTCTGCTCTGGAAGCCAAACAGGAAGGAACTTCTGCCCTTCCTTTCCCTTTTACCCTTTTCTCCTCTCTCCTCTTTTTTCTGTGATTTCCTTTGCCACTTGAACTGCCCTGCTTGGCTAATTCAGACTATGTTCATTTCACTAAAGGCCTCTAGGTTAAGACAAATAGTTGATGCTGTGAAGAAGGTGTTTCATGTGTTCCTGGAATACATTTTAAGCACCAAAGGAAGGGCATCTCTGAGTTTTGAACATAATCTCCTTCACAGTTGCACAGAAGTAACAATGCTTGTAATGGAGTCAGGGAAGGGCTAAAGGGAAGGGTGTCCAGGAACACAGACCACAGTTAGGGAGAATGGCAGGTTTTGTAATGTGGGGCTCTATATCACTTTGGAAATCGAATATCATATGGAACCAAAGGAATCCTAGAAAGGAACATGGCCCAACTGAACCTTCCCCTCCGGCTGTGAAACTAGATTTCTTTCACTTAGTGGGTGGAGATACAAGAATCTTAAGGAAAAGGATCTAGTCATAACAATGGCTAAAACACACAGTCAGTTCTCTTCTTTCCTTCTCTCCACTCACATATCATTCATCACTTACTCTTGTCTTTGGCTTTGTTATCTTTTATTTCATCTCAGTTCTTTGATCTCTTACATGCCTTTCTCAGTCTTTTATTTTCTCTCATTTCCATCTCTCCAACTACCTTTCTAACCCAGTTCCAGGAACATGTGGAACCAGTATAAACACACACACACACAGACACACACACAGACACACACACACACACACAAGAGTTTCAACCCTTTTCCCTTCTCTAGACTCAATCCCAAATTGGTTGGACTAATATACGGTCATTTTACATCGCAAAGTCCCTTTCTTCCTTGTATATCAAGGAACATGTTCTTTAAATGCATAGGGGAGAAAAATCCTTTTTTAATGCTCCTACCTGAGATTCTGGAGGACCCATACAAGACAATCAGCTTAGACTAATGTAAGGAGCCCTATATTGAGAATCTGAAAACCTATGTTTGAATCTAGGTTTGATACTTCTGAATTGTGAGAAAGTGATTAAATTTCTCTAAATCTCAAATTCCTCATTTGTAAAATAGGGATCGTAATTTTTGAACTATCTGCCTCACAGGGTTATGCATGCTATAACTGCACTTATTCTACTCTTAGGGTATACTCATGTATTCCCCTAGACAGCTGGCATTATTAATTCTCTGCACATTCCACAAATGATGTAGCAGGGCTATCATTACATCACAAGTGGATGACTTCAGATGCTTATGACTCCTTATTTAAAAAGTAAATGGGAATATGAAAATTAAGTACAGAGTAGTTGTGCTTTCGTTTGTGAAAGAATGGGAGAGAATACACATCTTTTCCTTCCTTTCACAACACAGAGAAAATTAAGGGAAGCATGGGATTTAGGGCTGGAAGAAACCTTAGTGATGATTGACATTAACCCTCATTATTTTTATGGATAATTAAACAGAAACCCAGAGAGTTAAAGTGACTTGTCCAAAGTCATGCAGCTAGTAGATGACAGAGTTGGAATTTTAACCTACTACCCATGACTCCAAGTTTCTAACACTTTCTAGCACACCACACTTCTCCAGGTTTCTTTCCATTGAATAATGATAATCCAGCCTCTGACTATGGGATGAAGCATAGGGCAGAATACATAGATGAATATATAAAAAGGGTTTGTACTTACTTGAAGCAAAAATGTTGCCATTAAACCTTAAAATAATCTGTTCTCCTTCTCTCATTTGGAAAAACTGAGATGGCTCTGGAGGCCCTCTAAACCCTCTCTTATGCAGGCTCTGAAGCTCCTGGCTCAAATCTTTAGAAGGCACTAGTGAAACAACTGCTTTATGAGGGTTTTCTTTATTCCGATATAGTACTATGCAGGCCATGGTACTGAAGGTAGCTTCCTCTAGACACTTTGTGAAAAAGACTAGATGGGAATTGTCCATGGTGGAAGAAAGGCGAAGCACAAGAAATCTGCATGAAAAAAATAAGAAGTACTTGAGAAAGAATGTAGTTGTTGTAGACATATAAATAAAATCCATTATCAGCTGCTCTTCATTTAAAGTAATGCAGATGGGTTGCAAGACAATTCAATGCCTTAACAGAGGCAATAGACTTTGGTACAGTTAGGAAATGAGTCTGAATGGAAATGTACCAAGGAGAGATGCTAAGCATGCAACTTTCTTCTATAATGAGATAGATAAACAGAAAACAGATGATCCTAAGGTGAATATATATTTCTCCATTGTTTCCTTTTCAACTCAGCACACATTTTCAGTGTAGCATATTTAAATCTGGGCAAAGGAAGCACCATTTTTCAAAGTGTAGTTGTTTCTTGAAACAAGCACTATTATAGATTATAACTTAAGCAAATATGAGAAAGGGATTATCAACATGACTCAAAAATAATTTTTCTCACTTATCTTTCTCAGGGTAAAAAAGAATATCTTTATATTAAATACACACTTTGAAATACTTATCCCTGGTAATTGTCTAGGTAGAATATAAATAACTGTGATATTTACCCCTAAAAAGTCTTTCAAAGAAAATTTCTATGGGCTAAAGGATACTTTACCCCCTTCTTAATAGTTGCATAGAACTATATAGGTTTAAAAGTCCTTTCACACATATTATTTAATTTTATCCTCATAAAAACTCTGAGATATAGAAAAAGCTGATACTATTAACCTCATTTTACAGATGAAGAAACTAAGGCTGAGAGGTCCAATGACTTTCTATGCTCACACAGATAAGAAGTGGTAAATTCAGGACTTGAACCTTTGTTTTCAGACTTTCAAATGTAATATTTTTTTCCACAATATCATGCTGCCTTTCTTATTTGAAGTGTATCTTCTGAGAACAAAAAAACCACATTGATACTTACTAAATTGTCTAAATTGGTTAAAAATAACAAACACTTCATACTTTATGTTATATTCTTCAAAGTATCTATATCAATTATCACAGTTGTAAACCTTAAAGTGCTATATACATGTGAATTATTAATCAACTGTAATGTACCATAACCACCAATACCACCAAATCCTTAGAAATTACATTCAAAGGGGGAAAGCATTTATATTAGAACAAGAGGAAATGGCTCAAGAAGTGAGTGCTACCCCTTAATTACTGCCAACCATTACTAAAAAGTCAGAGCTATAGGACTGTTCCATCATAGGTATTCACACACACACACACACACACACACACACACACACACACACACACATACACATAGCCAAAACCTCCATTTGGGTCTGTCAATGCAGTCAGTTTAGGCCTAAGCTTCCACCGGTCTTCTTGTTTAGCAGCCTCTGGTGACAACATTCAAATAACTGACTTCATCACTTTCCTAGCTTGACCAAGAACGTAGGCACAGCTTTTGTTCATATGGCACAAAGTGCAGTGATTGTGGAGTTATTCAGTCAGCACATCCTGTAGAGAGTCTCCTATAGTTAAGGCACTATGCAAAATACTGAGGCAGCACAGAAAATCTCCCTTACAGCCAGTGCCTTCCTCTATTGGTTGGCTCCAATTTTGCCTTGGGAACAAAATCATATGTCTTGTTTGTATATAGGTGTTTGCACTTTGTCTCCCTCATTAGACTGTGAACTGGTTTTTCACCCTTTCTTTCTACTTCCAATAATTAGAACAGTGCCTGGAGCATAGCTTAATTAACTTGTTGACTACCTATAACATTGTTCCTGAAAGACTTCAAGAAGCTTATGATTTAGTCAGAGACACATTGCATTTGCATGTAAAAGGGTGACAAAGAGCAGAAAGAAGTATATGATACAACCGAGAGGTTGTGTGTGGGAGGAAACAAACACTAAGTGCTTACTATATGCCAAGCACTTTGCTAAGCACTGTGAACATAAGTACAAACAAAACAACCCTTACTCTCAGGGAGCTTACATTCAAATGAGGGAAGACAACATGAAAGGGACAGGATAGAAAGAATATGAAAATATATGGCTTGGGGACATGGTTCTAAAGTCCAGAAAAATTCAGGAACTAGACTAAGAGGAGAATAGAGACAGGTCACCCTTAGCCCTTCCATAAAATGGAGGTACCAGGTAGAAATCACTAATGAGAAAAGGGAAAGGAGGGAGATTGCAGAGAAAAAGTCCATGACAAGTAGACCATAAGGGTGTTAGGATGTTTCAGGGTAAGGAGGCCAGAAGTACAGAGGAGAATTCTAGAATAAGCCCTAGTAGAGGGACACATGGTTTTGAAGTCCAGAGGAAGTCAGGAACAGGGCTGGCCTCAGAGTTAGGAAGAACTGAGTTCAAGTCTTATCTCAGAATATATGCTACCAGGCTGATCCTGGAAAAGGCACTTAATCTCTTAGTGACTCCAGCAACTCTCTAAGACTTTAAATTATAGAGAAAGTACTCATCAATATTGGTACATGCAGTTCTTCACTGAGAATTTCCTATATCAATGAAATTACAGTTCTGGTCTCTACCTTCCTCTCTTCCCCTACCCTTCAAAAAAATAATAGTATCAGTTGAGTGTTTCAGACAGCATGGAGTATAAAAATTCAGAAAAGAGATGAAATAGCATATCTTGAGGTAGTCAAGAAAGGTTTCATGAAGGAGGTAGGGGTTAGAAGTTAGGTTGGGAGGGTCAATTCCAAAAAAAAGGGCAATGGAGTATTTAAAAGCTGAAAAATAGGAGATAGAAGGTTGTGTCTGGAGAAGCATAAATAGAGGATAGGTAGTTGGATCAGAGGCTATATTAATTCGATTACATTTATTAATTCATTCAAAGTTTATTTCATTGACAGACTAATATATGCATAGCCCTATAGTAGGCTTTGTATGGAATATAAAAGATATAAAGATCATATGAATAGGCAGTGGGGAACTATTGAAGGTTTTGGGGATAGGTTATGATAAATGTAAGACCAATTAGAAATTTAACTCAACAATAAACTAGCTAATGAAAGTAGACAAACTCAAGGGATATTACTGAAGAAGAATGGATGATTTAATATGGTAAGGTTGAATGAAGTAGAAGTTTTCTAAAAAAAAAAAATGACTCCCAGGTTTTGAACCATATAAAGGGTTACATTTCCATTTGATATAGTAAAACATCAGAACTGTCCCTACAAAAATGAATCATGCAGATGACTGAAATATTCCTTTTTCTAGTCTGTACATAGAGTGTGACAACAAAGACTCTTCCAGTCTCCTTGGTGACAGAGAGAATGATGGTATCATTTTCAGAAATAGGGAAGTCAGGAAAGGGTGCCAGTATGAGGGGAAGATGATGAGTTCATTTTTAGACATGTTGATTATGAGGTGATTGCAGGATATCGAAGTGAAAATAGGCAGCTGAAAAAGTGGAACTGGAGCTTGGAAGAGAAGGCTGGAGATTTTTTTCAAATGTGGCCCTCTGCTATATAGAGGAAGTAGCTTAAATTATAAAAACAGATGAAATGGAGAGAGAGAAGAGCCAACTAAGGACAGAGCCTTGGAGGATGACTGCATTTAAAGGGTAGAAGGTGCAAAAGGACCTGGTAAAGGCAGAGCCAAATATATAGAAAAAGGTGGAGTGTCATAGATAGTGCCAGAACCAAGTTAGGAAAGGCTTTGAAGAAGAAAGGTATAGTCAATAGTGTAAGTTATTTAATAGGAGTCAAGGAGGAATAGGACTAATAAAAGACCATCACATTTGGTTTGTTGCAGGTCACTGATGACCTGAGAAAGACGTGTTAAGTAAAATGTGGTTGAGAATAGAAGAAGCCTGATGGCAGGGCTTGCTGTATGTTGAGGAACAAGCCTAAGAAATAGGGGATAATAAATGAAGGCAGCTGATAGAGAACACTTGTCTGAGAAGCTTGAAAGTAAAATGAAAGAAAACCTGGATGGAAGGGGATAGGTGTCAGCCACAGGTGTTGGCCCTTGTAGCCTTTGCAAAACAGAGGAGACTTGTATATGTGAAAATGGTTACTTCAAATCAACTCCACAAATATTTATTAAGCAACCACTATACACAAGGTATCATGTCAGATACTAGGGATACTAAGACAAGAATGATATAAATGTTTGTGATTATTATTATTGTTGTTGTTATGATTATTGTCCTAGGCCCTGCTTTAAAGGATCTTCTAGTTGAATGGGGAGGGAGAGGCAGATATGCAATTAACTGTAAAATAAGAAAGAATGAAGTAAAGGCAAAAGAGAGATAAAGGCAAAGGAAAATTTTTAAAAAATTGAGAAAGGAAAAGTCACTTTGACCTGGTTTGAGGATGGACAAAGTGAAAGCTTTGAGGAGTTGGCAGATGAAGATGAAAATATAGGAGAGAATCAGTTTCATTTTGGAGGAAAATATAAGTAAAAGCACAAAGACAAAGAGGGCAGGGAAGGAAGAGAGAATTAGCAGTCCAATTTGGCATCGAGAATACATGTAACAGAGGTATGTCCAATGGAGCTCTATCCTTAGAAAAGATACAATGCACTCTGCCTGCTGCCAGTATATCTGGAGGAAGCTGGGGAGCCTGCTTCCAGAAAGGCATGATGACCTTTAATAAGAGCACCCTATTCTCCAATTCAGAGAATACACAGATATCCTTTCTAGTCTCCTTATCATGCAAAGAGGAGCCCTTTGACTGGCTGCTGAGACAGTACTGAGAAGGCTTACAAAAAGCACTGACTGGCCAAAGGATTTTTTTTTTATTTCCTGCCTGACTACGTTAAAGTGAGAAGGCAAGAACTATTATAAGCACTTGGGGAGGAGAAATACATTTGTCCTTTTTCTACTCATTCAGGCTGCTCCCATGTGGCCCATGAATAAATGGCCCTGCTATTGCTTCTAATTTTTTTTCCCTGCTTTTAGATGGAGTATTGTTGATGGCTATTCTAACCTATCAGCACTCACAAGGTCATAGCCATCTTTTCATGTAGGCAGGCAATAGGAAATGCACATTAAACACACTCTGATGATGACATGCAATTAGCCAAGTCCTTGTTACATACATAATGTTGAATGATATAAGGTTTGAAGAGGTAGGTTGAGGCCAGATTATAGAGGATCCTGAGTGACAGACACAGAAATATTAATTTTTTACTTTTAGAATCATTATTCCAAGAAGGTGTCCATATCCTTAACCAGAGCATTTCAAATGGGTTCCGTGGTACACAAAAATGGTTAAGAACCTCTGTTCTAAGGGATAGGTAGATAGTGCAGTGGATAGAGCACCGGCCCTGGAGTCAGCATTGCCTAAATTCAAATCAGGCCTTAGTCACTAGACATTTGCTAGCAGTGTGACCATGGGCAAGTCACTAAACCCTTATTGCCTCAAAGACAAAAACAAATTTCTGTTCTAGAAAGTGTGGTCTGCTCCACATTTCTTTTCCATTCACTCCTCAACCTTGTACAATCAGGTTCTGTACTCTAGAACTTAACAATTCACCTCAACAAATGTTTATTTTGTACCTTGTATTTAGAAATAAAGCCTTAGTCAGTCTGCAAGAGGTAGTCACTGAAGATTTTGAGTAGAGAAGTGGCAAGGCTGTAGTAGAGCACTAGAAAGATCTCTTGGGTGGAGCTGTAGAAGATACACTGAAGAGGAGATTAGACTAAAGGCAGGAAGACTATCAAACTACCTGCTATAGTAGCATCAAACTCCTATATCAAACTATCTGCCTTCTCCATGAGGGGAGAGGGGACAGAAGAAGGGAGAATCTTGAACTAAATTTTTTTTAATGAATGTTAAAATTTGTTTTTACATTTAATTAGAAAAAATCAAATAATCAGTTTTTTAAAAAATAAAATTTCACTTTCTTCAAGAAAAGATAGGAACAATGATAAGAAGCAAAGGGGATGTGAACAAGGTAGGATGTTAATAAAACAATCTAAGTGAGGGAATGAAGAGGAGGAGAAAGATAGGAAGTAAAAAGAGATTCAGTGGCTACAGATGACTCTAGGTATGAGCATGGGATACTGGAAGTAGAAGGATGCCATTAATAAAAAAAAATTGATAAGTCATGCAGGGTAGGGGGTATAGGTAGGTTTAGGAGAGATGTGACATGTTGAGTTCGAGGTGCCACAAAACATTCAAGTGGAGATATTTAGGAGTCATCTGGAAATATGGAATGGGAGTTCTGAAGAGCACCTCAGGAATAGAGAAAGATCTGGAAATCCTCTGATTACATGTAAGATAAGTAAAAGGAGATGCATCAGAGAAGAGCATCTTGGAAGCCAAGGAAAGAAAAATGTTCAGGAGCAACAGGTGATTAATAGTATTGATTTATTTAAAACTTATTCCCTGGACCAAATGATTAAGAGCTCAGTTTTGACTTTTGAGAAGCCAATTTCAATAAATCTACCTCAAAATCAACATGTACAAAACAGAACTATTTTCAATCACACACTTCAACCACACCCCAATCTTGCCCTTCCTCCAAACATCAATATTTCTGATGAAACTACTATCATCTACTTTCACAACCTCAGAGGCAGGCTTGATGCTTTTCTCTCCTTCAGCTAATCATTTACCAGATCTTACTGATTGTATCTCCACAATAAGTACATGCATCAATTGTCTTCTCTCCACTCATACAACCACCACCCTATTTCAGGCTCTTACCATTTTTTCAGCAAGACCATTACAATATTTTGTTCATTGTTTGCCTTGCTTACACCCTCTCCCCTTCCCAATCATCCCTCATGCTGCTTCTAAAATAATCTCCTGAAAGGAAAGTTCTGACCTAATCATTTCTGTGCTCAAAAAATCTTCAATTGCTCCCTACTGCATTTAGGATAAAATACAAAAACCTCATCCTGACATATAAAGCCCTTTACATATGCTTCAGTCAACCTTTCCAGAGTTACTACATGTTCCTCCCTTTCCCGTACTCTATGTTCCAAAGTAGCCTATTTGCTCTTCTTACAATTGGCATCCCATCTCCCACTTCTGTGTTTTGGCTTGGAATGTCTTCTATTCTCACTTATTTCTCTCAAAATACATAACTTCTTTCAAAGTTTAACGTCTAAAGTTACTTCTTATGGAAGGTCTTCCTTCTCCCCCTTGTTAATGCTTCTCTCTGCCTCAAATTATTTTCTATTTCCTTATTTGGTTGCATGTTGTAACCTCCATCATGTGAGCTTCCTTGAGGCCAGGGACAATTTCATGTTTTTGTCTTTATATCTCCAGTTTGTAGCATAGCACCTTGTACATAGTAGGTACAAAATAAACATTTGTTGAGTTGAATTGTTAAGTGCTAGAGTACAGAACCTGATTGTACAAGGTTGAGGAGTGAATGGAAAAGAAATGTGGAGCAGACCACACTTTCTAGAACAGAAATTTGTTTTTGTCTTTGAGGCAACAGGGGTTGAGTGACTTGCCCATGGCCACACAGCTAGTAAATGTCTGGTGACTAAGGCCTGATTTGAATTTAGGCAATCCTGACTCCAGGGCCAGTACTCTATCCACTGCACTATCCACCTATCCCTTAGAACAGAGGTTCTTAACCATTTTTGTGTACCACAAAACCCATTTGAAACGCTCTGGTTAAGAATATGGATGACTTCTTGGAATAAGGATTCTAAAAGTAAAAGATTAAACATATAGAATTTCAAAAACAATTCTACTGAAGTATCATTATCAAAATATTTTTAAAGCAATTTTATGGAACTCAGATAAAGAAACCTTGATCTAGGAGTTTGTAGTGAAGGAGAACAGAGAGCTAAGACAATGGATGAATTCATTCATTTTACTTTGTGCAGCATATATACTAGCCTAGTGAGTAATAATAGAAATCATTACAAACAAGAGATAATCACATGTTTAATTGAAATAGCTAACAGCTATATAACCTATAAAGTAACTCTATATCTGATTGTTTACCATCTAAAAGAGGGGAGAGCAGATGGGAGGGAGGGATACAATTTGGAACTCAAAACTTAAAAAAAATGTTTAAAAATTATTTTAACATGTAACTGGGGAAAAATAAAATACATGTGTATGTATATGTCTATGTCTATCTATACATACATATATATAACCTATAAAATAAAATTGCACAAAGAAAAGGGTTATAAATTTATATACATATATATATATATAAAAATTAAGTATTTTAAAGTTGCCTAATGAAAAAAGCAAATTTTACATGGATAGATCAAAGGTAGTATATTGTTCTTTGCCTTGTAATATACAGTGAATCTAAAGTTTGAATATATTAAATCTATGAACATCTGAATCTTCACTAGTTAGTAAACTCCACCTCAGTCCACATAATACCAATAGCAGGCATTTTGGCCAACTGCCATGTAATAATAAGAGGCAGCATGATAGTATTGCAGAAAGACTGGGGCTCATGGCCCACCTCTGAAACATTCTCACTATGTGTTCCTGGACAACTCACCTAACTTGTATGTTCTTTTAGGGAGCTCTCCCAAGTTAAAAATTGCAGAAAAGCTACTGACCTGCACTGATAAGACAGAATTTCCTCACCAGACAGCTTTTTGTACTAGTGAAATCCTAGGTGCAGTCTCTTTGCCTACTATATAATCACTATCAATAATATTTACTTATGATAATCACACTTTAAGACAATTTTCTGCATACTTATTTGATATACACTGTTGAGATTAACAAATATTTTTAAAAATTCAATCTATTGATTGAATCTAAAGATTGCATATATACCTCTACATATATATGTGTATCTGCATTCAAATAGATTCCTTTTCATATGGTTTCCTTCTTTTTATGCCCTTCTAATGTCTCCATGGACTCCTAAGACATCTTAAAAGAATTTTATAATTGGATCAGCTGTAGTGTATTGAAATGAGAAAAGAAAATTAAACCACTCTTAAAAAAAACAAAATCTAGTCTACATAAACATAGTCATTTGATGAACATAAAATAAACAGCTTTCTCATAATCTTTATGGAACTTTCAGGAACAAAGATTTTATCATAGAATCATGTTGAAGTTACACAAAATATTAGAACTGTCAAGATATGATCAGATTAGTTTGGGGGCACATCTTTTGTGAAACTACCATGAAGGGAAGTAATACCTTATATTACCTACACATAAATTTGCTAACCCTGGTTTGCATTTTCAATGCAGCCTAAATGACTCTTCAGCAGTTCCACTTCTTGAATTATGATACTCATCTCAGGATTTCTGCATCTGTAAACATAAATGATGGCCCATCAAGAGCTAAGACACTGAAAACTTTATGTTCATTTACTGAGGCTTTACCTGTCTAAATGTTCATGCAATTCAAATGATACAATTCCACTCTGCATGTTTCTCACAACAATATCATCGAGGACAAACCAACTTCCCTCTCTGCTTCTGAAACCCAGTAGCTTCAAGGACTCACTGACATTGTCCCCAGGTTTTCTTATAGAAGCACTCTTGGCCCTACATAAAGGGAACACACAAGAAATTAGTGACATGGCTATAGATTAAATCACACTTATTATAGACATTAAAAAAACTGTCACAGGAACATTAAACAGTCTGCCATGAGTAATCAAAAATAGCCAAGAAAAAAACTCCTAGTCCTTTCAGCCCAGTTCTCATTCCTTTAGTAGTAATTTCATAGGGATAGGAGGCAGGGACTAGACCTCTGAATTCACTGGTATGGGGAATTCCTAGATGAGGAAGTTCCACATAAGACCAATATAACTTAACACTTTCTCTTAAACTTACATAGTGCATTAGACAAGACATCACCCCATGATATCATTGGTTTTCTTCGAAAGCAAAGGACAAACAAGAATAGTGTTACAGCAGAGATTCTTAACTTGGCATCCATAAATACCTGGGGTATTTCAGGGAGCCTGTGAACTTAGGGGAAAAATACATCTTTATTTTAATTTTATTGGGTTTTTTTGCAATCACAGGCACTTTGTTTTATGCATTTAAAAACATTATTCTGAGAATAATCTATAGGATTCACCAGACTGCCAGAGAGCTCCACAATACAAAAAAAGATCAAGAACTCCTTTCACAGAGAGTTGTCTAAAATATTGAGAGGTTAAGTGACTTGTCAAGGATCTCATAGTCAGTATGTGTCAGAGGTAGTATGTGAACCCAGGTCTTCCTCACTGGGAGACTAGCTTTCCATCTACTATACCTCTCATAATAGTCTGATATATATGTATATATATATATATATATAATATATATATATATATACTTTAATTCATTTCAATGATAGTTAATAAATATTTATAACAATACTGCTGTATTCGTGGTCCTGATCCCTGCAATTAAAGATTTTATAATCTAGGTAGTTGACATGTACATATGTACATAAATATCTATGATATGAGGCAGAATGGAATAAATCAAAGGAAAAGTCCAGATGATGTGCTATGAAGAATATGAGGAATAGGAGATCCTTTTTATTTTTTATTTTTTAATTTTTTTCTGAGTCTATTTTTTTAACCTGTGTTTTTAAAACTTTGGGTTACAAATTTTCTCCCTTCCTCCCTCCCCGCCCACCCTCATTGAAAAGGCAAGTATCTCCATACAGGTTATAGATGTGCAGTCATGCAAAACACTTCCATAGTAATCATGTTGTGAAAAACTAAGTATATTTCACTTCATCTTATCCTATCCCCAATTTATTCTATTCTCTCTTTTGACTCTGTCCCTCCTCAGAAGTGTTTGCTTCTGATTATCCCCTCCCCCAATCTGCCCTCCCCTCTATCATCCCTCTGCTCTCTTGTCCCCTTCCCCCCTTATTTTCCTGTAGGGTAAGATAGATTCCCATACCCCATTGTGTATGTTATTCCCTCCTTAAGCCAAATCTTATGAGAATAAGATTCACTCATTCCCTCTGACCTTCCCCCATTTCCCCTCCACTGTAAAAGCCTTTTCTTGTCTGTTTCATGTGAGATAATTTACCCCATTCTACTTCTCCCTTTCCTCCTTCTCCAGTATAATCCTCTCTCACCCCTTAATTTTATTTTCCAGATATCATCCCTTCATCTTCAACTCACCCTGTGCCATCTATCTATCTATCTATCTATCTATCTATCTATCTATCTATCTATC